GCATCTCCATTCCTCTTCTATTTTGAATTCCTTTCCCTTCTTTGCATACCTTGTGAATTATTTATCCCTCAAGACTCAGGTGGAGCCCTGACTGGTGTGGCTAAGTGGATTGACCACTGGTCTGCGAACTAAAGGGTCACCAGTTCGATTGCAGTCAGGGCACATGCCTGTGGGCCAGGTTTCCAGTTGCGGGTGAGTGAGAGGCAACCATACATTGATGTTTCTCTCTCTCTTTCTCGCTCCCCTCCTCTCTCTATAAATAAATAAAACTTTTTTTATTAAAAAAAAGACTCAGGTGAAACATGAATTCTTTCTTCAGCCTTTCCTGAACAACCCCAAATAAAATTGACTGACCCCAACAGTTAAATAAAGAAGGATACCATGTTTCAGACTCAGTTTGAAAATAGAGGCTTCTGTTATCTATTTTACCTGGAATGACTTTGTAACCCTTGAGAGACTTGGTTAGAAAGATAAAGAATATACCCCCATTTTTCCTATTGTTTGTTTCAAAAACAATGTGCCAAGCACCACAGCTGCCCACCCCAAAATACTGTCTCCAATCCCTAACTTACTCTTGCACCACCCACCCCGACTCCTCACCAACTCCCTCCATAGATTTTCTTACCCAAGGCCAGCAAAACCAGTGATGAAATTCTCCAAAAAAAGAGTGTGCAGTGACTTTTGGCATGCTCTTGATTGTAACACTCTTGAAGAAAGGGCAGTAACTTCTACAAAGGAACTGTGGACACATAAACATCCTCTCTGCTACTGTCACTGGGGCTCTGCACATTTCTGTTGGGCCTAAGGCGTTGCATGCAGCCAGGCATGATTCTGACTCATGCCTATGTTGCCCAGCTGATTGAAATCTCGGGGTCGGAGGTGTCCATCCTGATTCCAAAGTGGGGCCCTATTCTCTCACCTGTGCTCAAACTGTCTTTCCTTAAAGGATCAACTTGGCCTTCCTGGAGCTCATAGAGGAGCAGGGGGAAAGCATCAGATGTAGGAGACATGCTTTTAAAACACCATATTAGAGCCAACACAAGTTTCACAAAATCTCTTCAGTCTGTGTTTATTTTGTTATATTTAAATGTATCTTCTCCACAGACTTCAAGTTCCTGAAAGCATCAAGTGTATCTTCTGCATTTTTGTATCTTCTAGCGTAGACATCAGAGAACTTTGCACAAAGAATAAGCCTAATAAATTGTTTGACGGATGGATTTCTGAGCAGAAAAGTGAATGAAACAAAGGCAAAGAACCTGTTCTAGAAAAGCATCAGAAAGGCAGGCAGAGCCATCTGGTTTTACTGCCTTCCAAGGAGTTGAGAGTAGGAAAAAAGATCACCCAGAAGTAACTGCTTTCTGAAAATGACAGTACTTTAAGTCCCGTAAAGAAAGGTGGTGTAGAATGATGGAGTTAATAGAAGAGGAGCAAAAAAAGCTATTGTGGTAAGGTTTTCTCTTAAAGGTGCTTTCTTCACAGGCTTGTAACTAGCAAGCATTATTAGCAGAACAGTCTTATTCATCTTTATCACCATCATCTACCTGAGTCCCCTTCTTAAAGCCTCAAACAAAGCAGTTTCTCTGTTCCCTCTGGCTGCTGCACTTTTCCCAGTAATACCACCTGGGCTTTGTTATGATAGGTCTAATGCAGGGATGCCTCTTTAAGGGGCTGGAGGCAGGAGAAATGCTTTGTCCTCAGACTTTGCTTTTCCTCAGCTCTGGCACCTACTCTGATGCTCTCTCCCCAAATGTTCCAGATCTTAGCATCCCCAGCCAAACTGCATTTGAGTAAGGGAACATCTTGGAATGTTCAGTTCACTATTAAGTTCACAAGGGACAGGAAATGCCAGTGTCACAGGAAGAAACAACCTGATATGAACTTGACAAGATCTATGTCAATGTCTTCCAATCTTCCTCATTCTGGGACTTACCTTTGGATGTTGGAATACACTAGCAAGATGCATATGCTCAGAGAATAAGTGCTTGGGAGAGGGCCTGAAAAGGTTTTCAGGTGACTAAGAGAAAAGCAAAACAACAGGAAAAAAAGAAGGGAAAGGAGATAAGACATCCAAAGAACAAAAAGAGACAAGGGAGATGTGGTGAAGGAGGAGGCAAAGAAAGGCATCCTGCTTAGCTCTGTCAGTGGGCAGACTGTGGCGATGACCTCTTTTGTGCATGATTGCGCTGGCTATGGTTTTGAGTTGAGAGAAAGGGAGGCTTGCTTCTGTGAAGAAAGGCAGAGCTCCTTCTTCACTATGTATGTAACTGTTGATTAATTTCTCGGTTTTCCCCACTTGACTATGAGCTTCTTGAGCCACAACTTGTTATAATGACCTTGGTGTCTCCAGCACTGTGCCTGGCCCATATTTGATGTTCATCAAATGTTTGTCAAAAGAAATAAGCCAAGAAAATAAGAGTGGTCTACCTAGAATTGTCTCAAGAGGGACCTCAGTGAGGCATCTCATAATAGAAGTCACCTGGGATGCAGGCTCCGGCATCTCGTCATGGACAGCAGTGTTGCAGATACACATTTGAGATAATACTGAAACCCTTTGTCAAAAGAATGCATTTTAGGTAAGGTCTCTTCTCCACTCATTTTTGTACAATAATTTTCTTCCCCCACTGAAATGCCTGGGCTTAAAATCACCCACATGTCTGGGTGACTTCCAGCAAGTTGCATAACCTCTTTGTGGCTTAGTTTCCCCAGCTGTAAACTAGGACAATAATGCTTAGCTCTTAAGGTTGCTATGAGGGTCAAATGAATTAGCATTTGTAAAGTGATCTGAGCTATGCCTGACACATAGTAAACATGATATTAGTGTTTGTCTTAGGTAGTTATTCAGGAAACACAGGTTTATATTTCAAAATCCTCTTTATGTTTTCTTGCTTTATACCAAAATCCCTTTCTTTGTCTTCAATTGATTCCTGAGGAAAGGGTCTTCTAAATAGATCTGCAAAAATGAAGATTAGTTCAACCCACTTCTTGAGCAATGGAATTTTCTCCCTGAACCTCTTCTAAGGCCAAGTTCACTTACTGTAGGGAGCACACCCACCTGCAAGACTCAAACATTAGGGCTGGCCTAGAAGGGAAGGTGCAGTTGGAAAGTCAGGAAGTCTGATTTTTTTTTAGGGTGGAGTGAAGAGACACAACTAATTTCCTTTGTAGAACTATTATACACGTCACAATAGAAAAATACATGGAATAACTACTATGTGCCACTTAATACTTGCAAAGTGTGCTTATTTCATTTTTACAGATGAGGAAACTATAACAGGGAGAGGTTAGGTAACTTGCCTGAGATCACACAGCTGGTTAGAAATAGAGCCAGAGTTTGATCTGAAACTTGATTCCAAAGCCCTTTTTAGATTCTCCAATGCTGGTTCCAGAGCATGTGCTACAGGATTGCTTTCAGAAGACAGGAATTTCAATCCAGCAGGGCAGGGGCCCAGGCTGAGGTTTTCTTAGGACATGAAGATTTCCTTCGGAAAAGCAAGCTGGTCTGGTTCTGTAAGCCTATTGCAAAACCTGTCACTGCTGAGTCATTGAACAGCTTCCAGTTGGCTGGAAGGGAGCTTTCTAAAGCTACCTGCTCACTCCCACCCCCTTCAGGAAGTTTAATGCCAAATACATGTGATACTGAAAAGAAGCAAATCCTTGTTTATAAAGACCACAGTCAGTCCCCAAAACTGAAAGCTTTTTCTCAAATACTGTGCCCTTTAAATGGCACAAAAATACATGACTCTGGGGCAAGGGTTCCAGAAGACCCCATGAGGGTAAAAATAGCTGACAGATCGTCTGCTGATATCAGGGGAGGGCCACAGAATCTCTTCAACTCAAATCTCTACTTTGCTGAAAACCCTTTATTACTCCCACTCCCTTCCTGCAGGATGAAGTCTCACCTTGGCTTGGGTCTCAAGGCCCTCCATCATGGAGCTCTACCCTCCCCCACTCTTAACTTACCTGAGACTCTTCATCTTGCTGCTGCCAAATCAGTTTACTCTCTGTTACCAGAGCATACCTCCATCTACCTCAGGCTTGGGGAGGAACACACTTTCCTCTACCCTCAAGATTCTTCTGGCTAATAACAACCTGTCTAACAATCAAATAGACATGAGACAGATTAGCAAGAGTAAATAACCAAATCTAATACATACATGTGTATGGGAACCCCACATGCATGAGAAGTTCAGAGATGGAAAGGGGGTCGGGGTACATAAGATATTCTGAACTAGGGATGAGGTAATACACCTTGGGGGCTTTGAAGGGTCATTGCTGGATGATAAGAACAGATATTTAGTACAATAAATAGAAGTTTATCCTGCCCTATAGATAGGTTAAAAGAAGTTACCTTTGGTAATAGCTTTTGTGGGCAGGGACACTACCTAATTCAAGTTCTCCTAGGTAATTAAAGGGAGGGGCATAATTTTCTCTTGACCCTGCAGCTAAAGTTGCCTTTAGTTCAAAGTAATCTGCATACCACTGAGGCACATCTTGGGGTGGCTCATTCTGAACCCCAACAACCTCTATACTTTGGCTCATACCAGCCCCTCTCTCCTTCATTCTAACCACCCCAGCCTGATATGACCTCTCTTTTTTCTGACCATTTCCAACTAGCCTCAGAATTTATTAAGCAATAAATCATGTACTCCTGAAATGCCCCCCCCACGCAACAATTTTCTTATTGTCTTCGGTTGCTGTATAAATCCTTTATTGTTAACGTTTCCCATGTTCATGTTTTGCCTCTCCAACTAGATTATCAGAGACTGGAGGGCAAGAGCCATGTTTATCATGGCATTTTCACAACAGCTTTCCCAGTTCTCCATGCCTTTTATGCAGATCTTGATCAACATTTCTAGCTTTATTTTGAAGACTGGCCAACTCTCTCTCTGCTCCTACCTTTCTGTTTGTACCAAGAGTATCTTGAGCAAATAAAAAGGAATCTGGCAGTATTTTTCTTTTAGACCGTACTTGAAGTTTAGCATTTTAGAGGATCTCAGCTGCCCTACAGATAATGCTAGAAGAAATTAAGCTAATGAGACCCAAAAAGTAAGTCCCTAAAACTCTGGACCCAATTTCCTCAACATTCTCAGAACAAACAAACAAATAAAAACTGGCAATGACAAAATGTGCTTCTCTGGATGGTTCTCATCTATAAACCCCTGCAGGAAGCTGAAGAGTCCTGAAAAAAAGGGAAACCAGATTAGTTCTGCTGCTATTGCTACTGCTCCTACCATAAAATATAGCAGAGAATTGGAAACAGGATACCATCTGTCAACACATTCTTCTGATGTCACAAGTAGGCACTTTTACACTCCGGAAAAGGAGGCCATACCAGTGGAATGTAGCCAGGTGTCTTATTTCCAGTAGTTACCTCCATCACTCTGGAACTATGAGTCTCATGACTGAGTCAAAGAGGCCTGAGTCTTGCAGCCAGAAGCCACTGCTATCAATCCACATCCTAAAAGAATGCCTTCCCTCAGAAGCCCTTCCTGCAAGCTCCAGGACATGACGAATTAAGGTAGGGTCTTGATATAAGAGTTTTTTCTAAAGCTTCCAAGGTGATTTTGATGTGCATGCCAGAGTTGAGAGCCAGAGTGGAGAGCACTTGGGCTTTGGCTGTGACCTCCTGGAATGTCAGAATGAATCTTCTCACTTCTCTCCATCATCTCCATCTCCTTGCTTTGCTCACACCCTGGTCTGGAGCAATCCCACTCCTTCCTAAACACAGGCCCCTAGGCCTTAGAAAAGACAAATGGATTATGAACGTGCTGTATTTTCCTTATACTCTCTCTTGTTCCCTTCTTTCATTCCAAGTGTAGGTTTCTCCTCTTCCATGAGCCTTTCCTGCACACCCTTAGCCTCCTGTGCCTTTCCTCTGCAGCACTTATGAACTAGCCCCTGTTCAGCACACACTCACCCACTACCCCATAGTGGAATGCAGCCCCTCATGTGGGCATGCTTTATCTCTCCTGAAATCACAAACTCCAAAGAGCCAGTCTCTTAACCTTTTTATGTTCTAACAGGAATGAGCATGGAATGCTGTGCACACATAGACATAAGGGGTGCTTAAATATTGAATGGAGGGAGAAAGGAGAGGGAGCAGGGGGGAAATTTTTATTCAACAAGTGTTCATTGTGCATCTAATATGAAGCTAGTGGAGAAATAGTGAAATAGTAAACAAAAGATAAAATAATTCCCCAGACTGTGGTAAGTATATGTAAAAATAAATAAATAAGGGTAAGGAGATGGGGAATGAAAAAATTAATTTGTCAAATATCTAGTAAATACAAACTATGGAAACATATTTTAAAAATAGTTTTTAAATTACAGTTGACATATAACATATTTTGGTGTATAACATAATGATTAGACATTTATGTAACTTGTGAAGTGATCACTTCATTAAGTCTAGTACCCATCTGACACAACACAGAGTTATTACAATACTATTACAATACTGTTTCCTGTGCTGCACTTTAAATCCCCATGACTGTTTTTATAACTGGTAATTTGTACAACCTGATCCCTTCCCACTTTTCACTCATCCCCTCCAAATCCCCTCCTATCTGGCAACCATTAAAATGTTCTGTGTATCTATGAGTTTGTGTTTTTGTTTCTTTTTAGATTCCACATGTAAATGAAATTATATGGTATTGGTCTTTCTATGTCTGACTTATTTCACTTAGCATAATATCTTCTAGGTTCATCCATATTGTTGCAGATGGCAAGATTTCTTTCTTTTTATGGATGAGGAATACTCCATTGTATATGTGTACTATCTCTTCTGTATCCATTTGTCTATCAAGGGATGCTTAGGCTGCCTTCATTTTTGACTATTGTAAGTAATGCTTCAATGAACGTAGGGATGCATATGTCTTTTTGAATTAGTGTTTTTAGTTTCTTTGGGTAAATACCCACAATGGAATTGCTTCTTTGGAAGCAATAGAATACCCTTCTTTGTCTCGTTATAGCCTTTGTTTTATAGTTTATTTTGTTTAATATAAGTATTGTTATCCCAGCTTTCTTTCCTTTCCATTTGCATTGAACGTCTTTTTCCATCCCTTTACTTTCAAACCTGAAATGGGTCTCTTGAAGGCAGCATAATTATGGGTATTATTTTCTTTTCTTTTTTAAAATATATTTTATTGATTATGCTATTACAGTTGCCCCATTTTCTCCCCTTTATTCCACACTGCCCTGCAACATCCCTCCCACCTGCATTTCCCTCTCTTAGTTCATGTCCATGGGTCATGCATGTAAGTTCTTTGGCTCCTCCATTTCATATACTATTCTTAGACATAAGAGTCTATCATTTATGCTTCTTATTCCCTGTACCTTTTCCCCTATTTTCTGTCCTCCCCTTCCCTGCTTATAACCCTTCATGTGATCTCCATTTCTGATTCTGTTCCCATTCCAGTTGTTTGCCTGGTTAGTTTTTGTTTTTAGGTTCAGTTATAGATAGTTGTGACTTTGTTGTCATTTTACTGTTCATAGTTTTGATCTTCTTCTTAGATAAATCCCTTTAACATTTCATATAAAAGGGCTGGTGGTGATGAACTCCTTTAACTTGACCTCATCTGGGAAGCACTTTAACTGCCCTTCCATTCCAAATGATAGCTTTGCTGGATAGATCAATCTTGGTTGTAGGTCCTTGCCTTTCATGACTTGGAATACTTCTTCCCAACTCCTTCTTGCCTGTCAGGTCTCTTTTGAGAAACAGCTGACAGTCTGATGGGAACTCCTTTGTAGGTAACTGTCTCCTTTTCTCTAGCTGCTTTTCAGATTCTCTCCTTATCTTTAATTTTGGGTAATGTAATTATAATGTGCCTTGGTGTGTGCTTCCTTGGGTCCAACTTCTTTGGGATTCTCCGAGCTTCCTGGACTTCCTGGAAATCTATTTCCTCTGCCAGACTAGGGAAGTTCTCCTTCATTATTTTTTCAACTAAGTTTTCAATTTCTTGCTGTTCCTCTTCTCCTTCTGGCACCCCTATGATTGGGATGTTGGAATGTTTAAAGTTGTCCCAGAGATTCCTAAGCCTCTCCTATTTTTTTTTGAATTCTTGTTCCTTCATTCTGTTCTGGTTGAATGTTTATTTCTTCCTTGTGGTCTGCACCATTTATGTGAATCTTGGTTTCCCATCACTGTTGATTCCCTGTACACTTTTCTTTATTTCATTTTGCATAGTCTTCACTTTTTCCTTTATTTTGTGACCATACTCAACCAATTCTGTGAGCAGCTTGATTACTAGTGTTTTAAACTGTGCCTCTGATAGGTTGACTATCTTTTAGTTATATTTTTTCTGGAGATTTAATCTGTTCTTTCATTTGGGCTTTTTTTTTTTGTCTCAGCATGCGTATTATGTAGTAAAGGGCAGACCTCAGGTATTCACCAAGGCAGGGCAACCCACATCACTGCCTTGTGACACTGTTTATGGGGGAGAGGGAACAATGTTGTTTGTTCAGCTCTCAGCCCACTTTCAGTCACTTCCCCCTGATACCCACAGGCCAATCGAGCCTTTCTGGTGCTGGTGCCTGGGTGGGTGTGGTTTTGTGTGCATTTAGGACCCTGTGGGTCTCTCCAACAAATTCCTGTGAGTCTGGGAGTTTGTCCTGCTGCTGCAACCCCCACAGGTTTTTTCCAGTCAGAGGTTTTGAGGTTTTATTTCCCCTTGCTGGCACCCTAGGTTGCATGGTCAGTCTTGCTCCCAGTTGTTCCTCCCGGTTTATCTGCACACGAATGTTCCTACAGCCCTTGCCCTGAAGCCAGACCACTCACTTCTTCCCCATATGTCCCTCACACTTTTTGAGCTACTCTGTGCTGGGGCTCAGAGTAAGTGAGTCTTCAGCAACCAAGTCTGTGCATGGGCCCTTAAGAGGACCACCTAGGATTTCAGCAGCTCTGTCTCACTCAGCTGTAATTCCTGCTGGTTTTCTCAGCCAAAAGTTATGGGGACTTTTCTTCCTAGCACTGGAACTTGGTTGGGGAACCCATGTGGGGTTGGTACCTTTCACTTCATGGGGAACCTCTGCAGTTAAGATATCCTTTCCAATTTTTAACTGCCACATATGGGTATGCGACCAGCCTGTTCTAAGTATCTGCCCCTCTTACAAGTTTCAACCTGGCTTTTCTGTGTATCCTTATCTGTAGGACTTCTGTTCAGCTAGACTTCAAGAAGTTCTAAATAATGGTTGTTCTATAGTTTAGTTGTAATTTTGACAGGGGTATGGGAGAAGGTGAGCACAGTGTTAACCTACTCTGCCATCTTGATCAGAAGTCCAAACTATGCATACATTTAACTTACATCTACCCAAAGTTTTTCCCACAAGATTGTACAAGAGTAGAAGGAGGCCACTGAATATCTCTATTATAGTTGGCTAGGGCAACAAAGTACCACAAACTAAATAGCTTAAACAACAGTTGTTGACTGTCTCACAGTTCTGGAGACTACAAGCCTAACATCAAGGTATTAGGAGTACTGATTCCTTCCAAGAAGGCTGTGAGGGAAGGATCTGTTCCACGTCTCTCTCTCCTATGTGCATCCTAATGACCTTACTTTACTTAACTTAAATTTAACTTAATTTCCTCTGTAAAGGCCCTATCTCCAAATAAGGCTCCATTTGAGGTACTAGGGGCTAGAACTTCAACATAAAAGATTTTGGAGGAATATGATTCAATGTATAACAATGTTCAAATGAAGCTTTCACTTTTAAAAAAAATCAGGATCCACATACCATCCAGGGCTAACCACTCAAAAATTATTTTACTCAGTTGGAAACTCCTTGAGGTCAGGAAGTCTGTTGTTGTTCAGACCTATCTCTCAGTCACTAGGTCCACAACTGGCCTATGGAAAAGATTAAATTCAAGGATTTAATCTTAAATTCAAAGGTTAAATTCCTTTTGTTCAAGGAAACTCAGAATAAAGTTGTTTAATCCAGAAAATCAAGCAATCTTGCTAGCTTGCAGCAGTTCCTGGAACTCTCTGAATCAAAGGAAATTATGTTGCAATGGCACAGAATCTGTCTCTGGGTTTCTTAATTAGGGGTATTTGCATGATGAAAGATTTGTTTCTGAATAGTCATTGCTCTCCTGTCAAATCAATGGCCTCTGCTCTTGACATCAGAACTATCTCTACAGGAACTACATGAGTCATAGAGAGGTTTGACTCTCAATAGGAGAATGAACAGCAGGAAAGAGAAAAAGCATCTTAAGATAGAGGCCTCTTACCAGGATGTGCAGGAGAAAAGGAAAGTGCACAGCTCAGACTCTCAGTTACCAAATGTGATAGAAATGACAAAATAGCTTTTAATCAAGTGTCTCCCCACTTTCAGGATATACTGGTGCTTCTTTTCCAGCTGCTCAGTAAAGGTCTCTGAAGCCCCACACCAAATGGGCCTCTTGCCCTCTGACCCTGGACCAACTGTGAGAAGCTCAACATTCAAGAACACAAAAAGAAGACAACACTGGTGTGGAGGTATGGGCTATTACCACAAGTCTGCCTGACATTTTTTCCTTTACTCACTGAGGTCTTCTATGTGCTTGCATTGTCCCCTAGAGATTTCAGATATGGTATTTTAATTCAACCATCACAGATTTTCTGAATGAGGGGTATTTCATACATGAAGACATGATTCCTATGTCCTCTTTCATCACTAAAAGTATTGAATGAAGGTCTCATCAAGGTTTTGTCACAGTGGGCGGCATACTTAAGATCTATTTGTTCAGATAATCAAGAAAGATAAGCCAAATGGTTAAGCAGGAAAGAGTTTTCATTTTTTCTCTTCTGTCAACTGGTAGCCTGCATCAGATATCTAGTGCTCCAGGCTGGGCACCAAGAAAAAGCCTAAGAAAGACTTTTGAAAGGTGATCCACAAAGCTAAGTCATGTCAACCAGAACTCCAGACAATCATAAAGGGAGAAGAGAATCTTTTTTTCACACTGCTGTGAAGAGGCTGCTGAAGAGTCATAATACAGCTGAAAATGGAGAAAAACAATTAGGATCTGTTTGCAGTGTCTCTGAGGAAAAGACACATATATGACCAGCAGCAAATCCTTGAACTATGGCTTCCCAAGGGAGGTCTGGGGAGAGGACTCTTGCAGCAAAGGCACATAGCTTCTGATTACAAGACTTTGACCTTCCCTCTAGGAAGTTGGACTGAACTGTGTAAGGGAGGAATTTTCTCAAATGCAGAAAATATTTTCAGAGAACTGCAAGATCTCTCTGAGATTTTTTTTAATTTGGCTTTTTACTTTTTTGTGATAATATAAAAATAATGCTTAGCTTGTTCTGAATTATCTAGATGACTGGTCTTAGAATGCTTCATGAAATTTCAGTACCTAGAGACTGTGTTTGTGAATGTTTTTCACAACAAGTGAAGCTCAGATGACATTGAGCCCTGCTATATAAGTGAAGATTTTGAAATGTTTTGAATGGAAAAAGTAGTGAGAGGATTGGATCAATACATGGCAGATGGTAAATATGCAAGGTTGTATTGTACAAAACAGGCTCAGCAATATTTCTGGTCCTATGTGCTCTCCCAGAACCTTGTCACTACCTGTCTCATCAAGAGGTAGAGTCTGTATAAAGGACACATGGATAAAAACTAGAGGGGGTGGAAATGGGAGGGAGGTCAGAGGGCTGGGTGGGTGGGCTAGGATGGGAGTAAAAGACAGAAAACTGTACTTAAACAATTAAAAAATAAATTAAAAAATCAATAAGTAAGTAGAAGTAGAGTCTGTATTTCCTGACTTCAACCACAGTGGGCCTTTGCAACTGCTTTTACTGTACAATGAGAATGTGGCAGAAATGAGAACACATGACTTTTCAGACTGGGTCATAAAAAAACATAGAGCTTTCTCCCAGCTCTTTCTCTCTGAACACTTGCCCTTGGAACATAGCTCTCTGTTGTGACAAAGCTCAGACCCCATGAAGAGGCCACAAGCAGGTATTCTTGCTGGAAGACCCAGGTAAAGTCCCAGTCAGCAGCCATTGTCAACTGCCAGGCATGTGAGGGAGCAAGCTTTTAAATCAATAGTGAGCAGATTTTGACCTGTGGGTCAAATATGACCTATTGCTTGTTTTTATAAGTAAACTTTTATTGGTACATGACTGCACCTATTTATTTGTGACTTCTTTTGCAGTACAATGAAGAGTTTTAGTAGTTTCCACAGAAACTGTGTGGTCTACAAAGGCGAAAATAGCTTACTAACTGGTCTTTTACTGAAAAGTGTCCTGACCTATACGTTAGATGATTTCAGCTCTCAGTGTTCAAGCCACTCCCAGCTAAGTCCTAGTGGGGCAGAGACAAGCTGTCCCCACCAATCCTTGCCAAAATCATAGATTTTTGAGCAAAATAATCATTAATATTTTAAGCCACTCATTTGGGGATGGCTTGTTTCATAGCACTAGATAATTGGAACAGTTTTATAAGCATGCTGGATTAAAGAGGACCTGGCCACAGATGATTTCATATCCAGCTTTTATTGATCAGAGCTTATCTTTGTATGTATCAGCTTGTAACAGTTCATTAGCAGTAAGTAGAGTAGGAAATTACAATAAAATATTTTCCCATTCCCAACTCTACTAAGAATTAGATTAGATGCTTCCTTCAATTTAGATTTCAATAACATCACAATGCTAATCTTATCTTCAAGAAAAAATAATTTTACATTATTTTCTAGTAACACCTCATTAAAATTGGTCCTCAAGAATTGTTTGCTGACATCATTATGGTTAAGTGTGTGGTCTGATTATCCTCTACTATCAAACTAAGCTTTGATGTTACATTTCCTATAACTCATACAAACAGATTTCTCTGTATTACAGTGATTCAAGTCAAATGGAGACAAAAATTAAATATGAACTAAAACAAAAACTCTTTCAATTATTAAATAACATAAAGGATTTGTTTTAGCAAAATATTATCTCTCACATTAAATTTAATTATATAAGATTTTTTGGCTTTTAAGTTTAGTTTGATCATTTGTTTTTCTAATTATCTAATCTATAAATAGAGCTGTAACAGAATTCCAGACCTACTGCTACACATATGTGTTCATGTAATATCTGAATCACATCAGTAGTGTAAATCTATAATATATAATTTGTTTCCTTTAAAAGACACAAAAGGACAAATATTGCATGATTCCATTTATATGAATTCCATTTATATGGATTCTAGTACCTAGAATAGTGAAATACATAGAGACAGAAAGTAATATAGTGTCACCAGCATTGGGGGGGAGGGGAACAGGGAGTTATTATTAATGGCACAGGGTTTCGGTATGGGATGATGAAAATTTTTGGAGATGGAGCATGGTGATGGTTCCACAACCATCTGAATTTTTACTTAAAAATGATTTAAATTGTAGATTTTGTTATTTATATTTTACCAAATAAAAAAAGAGAGAGAACTGTACTTCACCCTAATATGAGAACTCAGAGTCTGAACCAAAAGCAGCTGACAGTCATTCTAGGACCTTCCCCTTCATCCCTGGATGCTTAACCTCCCAGTGGTGTCCAACCTGCAGCCCATAGGCCACATGCAGCTCAGGATGTCTATGAATGTGGCCCAACACAAGATTGTAAATTTACTTAAAACATTATGAGGTTTTTTTGTGATTATATGTTGCAATGTATTTAATGTGTAGCCCAAGACAACTCTTCTTCCATTGTGACCCAGAGTTGCCAAAAGGCTGGATACCCTAACTGAGGTTTTAACATACACAAGGTAAAAAGAGCCCCTTTGAAAATGGTGCCCAGGGAAAGACGGTCTCTGGCTCAGACTTGGAGCAGCATCAGCCTGAGCCACCATGTCTGGACTTAGGGTAAGGGGCCCCATACAGTCCCTGAGCATCAGGAAGGAGAAAGTAACTCCTAAGAGGAGCCTGGGCCTTCTGAAAAGAGAAGGCCCCCGAACTGAAGGGATTCAGGAGCTTCGACCTTAACATATCCTCATTGTGGTTTTGTTCCCACCAGATGAAAACTCCCCCTTCTAGAAGAAGGGGATCTTTGAGCAACAGAGAAGATTGAGGTACCCTTCCAACAGGAAGTGGAAGGGAGCCACGGAGGAGGAAATTGGGTGATTAAAAGGGAGATTTGAGGATAGGCATTGAAAGCAAAGGACTGAGCACCTACTAAGGGCCAGACTCGGTGCTTTACATTCTTTATCTCCTTTGAATCTTCACAAGGACATTAATTGTTTTTTTATCTCCACTTTATAGAGAAGTAAACTGCGTCCAGAGAGATGAGCTAACATGTCTAGCTTTTGCATAGCTCATAAGAAACCAGGATGAGAACCGGGCCTGTCTTTTGTAAAATCCTTGATCACTGCCCCTCCACCTCTGCCATATCCACTCTTACCTCATTCCGGTCTTCACCTGCTCTGTAATGGCTCCGTCTCACTACCTGTCAGCCTCCTCATCTGAAAATACCTTTTTCGTAGTCCAAAAAGGAATCCTTAGGCTCTCTCTGAATAATGTAAAAATTTGGCAAATAGTAAGGGACGCTGGAAATACAGAGGGCAGCAGGAAAGCAGTAAAACAGAGCACCCCAGCTAGCACCAGAAGACGACCATGCCAGGGACCCTCATGGTGCTCGAGGAGCAACCCCACCTCACTCAGGAGGCACTGATATGGAATTGTTTCCTTTGGAGTGTTTAATGTAGTGCGCTGGGGCACCTGGGAAGAAAACCCTCTGTAAGAAAGCTAGACAGATTAAACATTCTTCCTAGTCAAACAGCACCACAGCCCCGTCTAGCCACACTATTTGAAAATAGCTCTAAAAATAATATCATGAGCAAGCAGTTACCATTTGCCCCTTCCCAGGAGAAGGTAAACAAGTAAAATCAAAGGCAGCTGCTGCTCCAACAGCCTCTTCCTGTATTTGTCTCTCCTCTCAGGGACAAACCACTCCCTACCCCACCCCTGCTCTTCCTGCTCCCCACGGTTCCTTTATCAATTCCTCTCATCTATCAAATGAGACACAGGGGCAGCGGCAACAGCAGGCATTGCTGACATTTTTTGAGAAATTATTGACACTGTAGTATGAGTTAGTTTTTTTGTGTGTAATATTGCCCATTTGACATGGGCAGAGAAAAACAGAGGGAAACATCAATTTGTTCTTCCACCTTGTTTATGCCTTCATTAGTTGATTCTTGTATGTGCTCCCATGGGAGATTGAACACACAAACTTGGTGTGTGGGGACAGTGTTCTAACCAACTGAGGCATCCAGCCAGGCTATCTAATTTTAAGCAAGAGCCTTTGCTCCACTTTCAATGACCTTCCCTGTGTGACGTGCTTTGGAAAACCTTGATGCTGAGTACTCCTCTTTGGAGCTGCTCTCTCTTCCCAGCCCTTCCTTCATGTCGTGGCACTGTGGTTCAGACTCCCTCTTGTGCACTCTTCCCCACCTAGAAAAGTCCTAGCTCCATGCCACTGTTCCCTGAAGCTTTTTCTAGTCCTTTCCCAAACCTTAGCCCTACCTTCTCACCAGGTATGTTCAAAACAGACATTTGTCATTGAACTACTAGAAAAGTTAATATTTTGTTCCATCATTTTTTGCCCATGTATGGCTTCCTTGCTAGACAAGAACTGTCTAGAGAGTAGGGATATGATTTTCTTTACTTCTGATTCCCACAGTGCCAGCCCGGTGAGCTGCCAACTACCACCTGGACAATAGACAGAGATGGAAAAGAACCCTCTTTCCCTTTCTGAAAATCTCAGCTGTGTGGAAGTAAGCATTATCCAGTCACTGAACAATTCACCATCATCCCTTCTGCCCTGTCCTAGGGCTAAAGAGCTGACTCACAGTATCACTAGGTGGGTGGGTGAGAAATGGGGTGTGTTTAGGTATTTGACGGAGTGTATGTGGAGTGAGGGGAAAATACTGACATATGTCTGGGTTCCTCTAGGACACTAACCAGTTCCGTGATTTCTGCTTGTTCACAAAGAAATGTGTCTGTCTGGGAGAAGATTACAGAGGCCAAGTGGATGAAGGCCATTCCCATTTGTCTTAAAGGCAGCTTCCTTTCCAGCTGCAGGAAAATTATGCCCATAGAAGGACATAATTTGGAATTAAGTTCTGGAATGTTTTCCACTTGCTCTGCTTCTTTCAGAGTCTTGTCATTCAAAATGTGGCCCCAGGACCAGCTGTATTAACATCATCTGGGAACTTGCTGGTAATGTATGATCTCAGGCCCCACCCATCTCTGCTGAATCAGAATCCACATTTTCATAAAATCTCCAGGTGATTCACATGCACATTTAAATGTAAGAAAACTCGTCTACAGCATAACTTCAGGCCACAGTGTTTTGTAGTGGGTGTGGTCTCTGTGAACTCTAGGGTGCTCTGTCTAATCCCCGAAAATCAGGGTCACAGTGAGATTAATCAGGTCCTGCGTGCTTCAGGTGTTTAACAGAAAGCCATTTATTTGGCAATGTTAGAACATTTCTTCAAGATATTGGGAGTTAACCACAAAGCCCCAACAGGTGGAAATCTGAACCCCAGACTAAAGTCTTTATTAGGCCCTCAAAAGATCCCTCAACATTAGTCAGGCTGTGTTATCTGTGCTCATCTGGGGTAGTATATAGACCAGGTAAAAACAAAACGAAGGGTTTCTCATAGGCTCTGAAGAACCACTGCAGTCCAGGTGAGGTTTTCTTAGTAACTGCATCAGACAAGTCTGGGATTTAGCGAGCCACTCGGGGTGGGGGTGGAGGTGGGGGAGTCATGTAACCTGTGGAGGGCTACAGCCTGAGCTTACTGGAGTGTTTTTCATGAAGTCTGAAGAGGCTGCTGATTAAATCATGGTGAACCTCAGAAATTTCGACAGAGCAGTAGACCCAGCAAGGATGGCCTGGGCCTGACCTCACCCGCACTTTGCTTTCTGTAATTGGGACAGAACACAATGTTCCCAGGCCTTCCTGAGGTCAGATGAGTTACGGGTCAGAACAGAGCATGTTCTCAGGGGTGAGAGTAATTAAGTCCACCTGAGAAGGGAGGCTGTGCCTTTTATGAAATTGTACAAATTGCCAGGGTTTGCACCAAAGTGCATGTCTGGTAGATGACCATTTGTAGGGCAAGATAGCAAGTGGCAGCCAGGGGTTTAGGCGGCCAGTGTGTTCATGGCCAGCTAAATGTGGAGGAATCTTCTCAGGGCATACACAGGGCACTGCTTGGGTTCCAGGAACCCCAGTCAGGGCTTGCCAATAAAGCCAGACTGGTATCCAGGAAACAGGCAGAGAATGAACTTTCGTGCTAAGAAAGTTCCAAGAAACAGAATTACATGATGCAAAGAAATGAAACCTACTTTCATAAATTTTAATAAAGATGTGAAGTAGAAATGGAAGAAAATGAGGTCTAAGGAGATAAAAATGCAATGGCATTAGACCTGAAGACCTTTTCCATTTATAACCCAATTTTACCCCAAGCTGACCTTGATGTCTGGAGAGGTTGTATCATTTGTTGTCTTCTTCTATCTTTTTCTTGGTGTGCAGGAAGTGACTCCTCGCCTTTCTTCTCCATACTCAGGTCTGAAAAGAACTCTACTTCCTCTACCTCCAACTACATTAGCTTTTGCTAGCAGAATCTGAAGGGGCCGACAGTCCCCAGTGTGTAAGTCCCCAGTGACCAATAGAGTGTTCAGTCAGAAATTGTTCCCAGGCCTGTGTGAAACAATATGTGCCTTTAACTATATGTGCCTTTATATGCATGTATAAATATGTATAGTATGTATGTATGTGTGTAGTTGTTTGGTAACAGTTGCATAACCTTTTTAATTTCTAATATTTCTTGTGTGGTAACAGTTTACTAATAACTGTATACATTCATTATTAAACTGTTACCACAAAATTACCCATAATTCCTCCTACATACAACTATTTTTATCTATTATTCCTGTGTGCCTTGAAATGTCAAATAAACACATCTGAATATAACCCATGTTGTTGTCTCTGGCCACACCTGTCTGAAATAAAATAGCGTCAGAGTAATGGTAAAAATGGCATTTCTCTGGTTCTGCTGTCACCTTCAATTTTGGGAAATTTGACCACTCTCATATTCCACCCAACTATTTCTGGGTGTTCCTAAGTAGAAGTGGGGATGGGGAAAGTATCTTGTGTTTTCCAGAACAAGGATTATTCATTACACAGTGATCCCTACCATCTTTCCTGGTTCTGGTGGCTTCACTGTTATCTCCTGCGTGTCTCTACACCAAAACTGTAACTCCTTCCCCAGCATCTCCACCCCATAGGTAACTGCTGAAGATGCTACAAGGCCCGTTAAAGATTTAGAGTCATCTCAAAGTTCCTCCCCTTCCCTTTCTCTCCATAGAAGGGCTCTCTGTCTCACAAGCCTTTGGTGTCTATGAGACCTGTGGGCTGGGCTAACAGACAGAGTGAGTTCATGGTGAGGTACTGCACTTGGAATCATACAGTGGGACATGTGGGTGATCACCAGTGCTATGTGCAGAGGTAGCACCCCATCCAGAAAGCCCATCAGGACTCAGGTGATGAATGGTGAAGTTAATGTGGGAGGGAATCTTACAATTGCTTCAATTAATTAATTAGTTTAAACTTTACAATATTTAGCTTTAATGATTAGTGGTAACAACTGGTGACACGTCTCACAACCTAACATCCCCAGTAAGAACTGGAAAGCTGAATGCTTTTTGCCATGGGAATTCAAAGGATTGACTCAAGGTGGGCTGAGAGAGAAGTCTTCCAACAGAACATGAGATATTAACCCAATTTTTAGAGAACAGTAAAATTGACTGGGAAGGAAAAGCTGGCAAAAGCTTTTTAGGTAGAGAAGGTGGCATGAACATATGTAGAGGCAGAAAATCACAAGACTTGTTCAGTAGCCCATTTGATCTTAAATACAGGTTCATATAGGGTAACAGTCAGAGCTGCAGCTGGCAAGAAAGATTTGGGGCTGCCACACTGAAGACAAATCTTAATGCCAGCTTAGGAGTCTGTATTTTCCCTAAAGTCACAGAGAGCTATTATGAATTTTTGTGTACATGAGTGATATGATGAGACTGGCAGTTTAGACAAAATTGTTCCGGTGCTTGTATTCAGGAGATATAAAAAGAAAATTTGAAAGATAAAATAGATTTAATTCACTACGTCTATGAATTTTTAAAAATCTTACTCTAAATTGCTTGTGTAAATACAGTTACTGCTAATTCTAGTAAAATGTATCATTGAGTACATATTATTCTTGACAATTTAACAAATTCTACTTTTGATGGCAAAGAAATATAACTGAGTGAAGAAGCACTCTTTGTTACTCTACTAACCATGCTTATAAGAAGTGCTTAAAACATCAGACTAGATCTAATTTACTGGAGTATTAAACTATATCTAATTTATTATATCTGATATAGCTGTTGCTACACTAGAAGAAATAGCTTTCAGTGACAATAAATTCATCAGAGAGATTAAATTAAAAAATGGCAGGTATTCTGAATCAAACTTTTGGTTAGAAAACCAAAAATGTTGAGATGTGTATTTTAAATGTGAAACATACATACATTTAGATAACTTCTATAATTTTTTTCCTCAGATGTAACTAATATCTGCATTACCATTTTTCCTTTCTAAACAAATAGTGATTGTCCTCTAAGTACTTACACTCATGTTAGGCTCTTTGTTTGGCTTGATTTGGTTTGGAATGGGTGGGTGGGGTTTGGTTTTGCCTTATTACTTTTTAAAAATATTATAAGGGCAGACTTCCAGTCAAGATGGTGGCATAGGTAAACATGGCTCACCTCCTTGCACAACCACATCAAAATAACAACTAAAATATAGAACAGCCATCACTTAGAACCATCAGAAATTGAGTTGAATGGAAGTCTGACAACTACAGAATTTAAGAAACCACTTCCATCCACACTGTTAGGAGGGGTGCAGATGTAGAAAGGGCTAGTTCCATACCCATATGTAGTGCATAAAAATTTGGGAGGGATATCCCAGGAGTGAGGAATCCCAGCCCCACATCAGGCCCACCAATCCAAGGTTCTGGTGCCCCATTACTTCTGGCTGAAAAACCCAGCAGGCATTGAGTCAGTGCAAGAAACTTCTGGAGTCCCAAGCAGTTCACCTTAAACAACCCACACATGAACTCACCTACTCAGACACTCCCTCTGAGCTCCAGCACTGGGGTAGCAGCTTGAAAGGCACAAGGGAGTGGCAGACAGGGAGGAACTGAAGTGTCTGGCATGAAGACAGGAGCTGGGGGATAGCCTTCTCCCAGAGAGAAAGGCAGGCAGAGGCTATTGTCCTTTTTCTGAGCCCTCCCCCAAGAGAGCCACAGAGCTGACAGGCAGGTGCCAGATCTGACACTCCATTGACCTGATTAACACTGTTTGCCCCTGCTCTTGAGATCCCGTAAGACTCTGTCCCACCCAAACAGTGAACTGTGGCTTTTCCATATGAATGGCTGGTCCTCGATCATGCTTTACATCTTCCTAAATCCCATCAAACAAGCAACAGCTGGCCTCAGTGAGCCTCCAGACCTTGTACTTCCTGCTAAGTGGCCGCAGGCATGGCACCAGCAGCAGGCAGTCTTACTCCCTCTGTGCTGGAGATCAGAGGGAGTGAGTCTCAGTAGGTGAGTACATGTGAGGGTTCTTTAAGAGGAACTGCTTGGGGCTCCAGGAGTTTCTTCTACCTACTCAATCCCCACTGGTTTTTGCATTCAGAAATTGTGGAGACTTATCTTCCTGGTACTGGAACACTGGACTTGGGGGCCTGGTATGGAGCTGGGACTCCTCACTCCCAAGATCCCTCCTGAATTTTTATCTACCACGCATGTGTGATTGACCAGCCCATTTCGTGTTTGCCTCCGTCCTACCAGTCTGGATGGAAGCGGTTTCTTTAATTCTGTGGTTGTCAGACTTTCACTCAACTCAGTTTCTGATGGTTCTGAGTGATGGTTGTTCTATATTTTAGTTGTCATGCTGATGTGGTTGTGCAAAGAGGTGAACCATGTCTGCCTATGCTGACATCTTGACCAGAAGCATTATCTTTTTTTTAATAGTTTACTTTTTATTGTGTTTTTTTCCATTACCATTTATCCTCCTATACCCTCTTCCACCTTCACCCATTTCCACCCCCCACCTGCCTCAATCATCACACCGTTGTTCATATTCATGAGTTCTTTTTTGGTTGATCACTCCGCCCTCTAGCCCCCCTGGCACAGATTTCAGAATTATTGGATAAATGTACTAAAATTGTATTTCAGAGGTTTAAAAATTTAAGTAGAGACATAAAAGTTATAAAAGGTCTGTCCAGAAAAATTCCATCCATTGTTAATATAACAAAAGTGGTTTATGTGACATTGATGTAACCTGGTAATCAATGAGAGTTTACTGGGATGTGCAGTCACGAACAAAGACAACTTCACTGTACTAGTCGGGGGAGGTGGGGTGGTAGATGCCATTGCGTGAGCATGTGTACTATATGGCCATCACATTCAAAATGACTGAGTAGAGCAATGAATCTGCATCAAATTTTACATAAAGCTGGAACATTTCTCCACAGAAACTTCGAATAATTCAGAAGGCCACACTATGGGCAAGTGGTGATTGGCAGCTTTACCACTACAACATGCCTGCTCACGCATCATGTCTCACACATTTTTGTTTGTTTGTTTGTTTGTTTTTTGCAAATCATCGAATCACTCAGG